TATGGGTGTGTGGGGGGGGTGTGTGGGGGTGGGTGGGGGGGGGTGTGTGGGTGTTTGGGTGTGGGTGTGGGTGTGGGGGTTTGGGTGTGGGTGTGGGTGTGTGGGTGTGGGTGTGGGTGTGCGTGTGGGTGTGGGTGTGGGTGTTTGGGTGTTTGGGTGTGGGTGTGGGTGTGGGTGTGGGTGTTTGGGTGTGGATGTTTGAGTGTGGGTTGTCAGTTTAGGTGGGTGTGAGTGTTTGGGTATGGGTGAATGAGTGAGAGCGTTGTTGGGTGTGAGTATGGATGTCGGGGTGGAGGTGGGCCTTCTGTTGCCCACACCCATATTCACACCTACACGCACATCCACAACAATGTATTTTTCAGTTTTTCTTGTAATGTTCAGCAATTAGCTCAAATTCAGATAATGATTTTAATAGCCAATGAAGTTTTCTACCTAATGTATTCTATATTGGATGAACTATGATGGCAAGGTTTCTAAAAAATTGGACATGACAGTTTTAAGGTGCCATAAGCTATATTTTAACAATGCCACTTCAAAGAACACAAAATCCTGAGCAAAATAATGAATCGCTGCATTTTCTACGAATTTCCGTAAAACTTCAAAGCATCCCAAAAGCCGAAAAAAGGCGCTTTTAGTCGATTTTTTTGATAAGTTTTGGTTTTTACAGTTTTAATGATGCATTTAACTTTTTAAAAGAAGTTCACAGAAAATACGGTAACCCCTCATTTTGTTCAAAGTTTTTTACTCTTTAAAGTAAAATTAAAAATGCGTTCGTGTTAAATAACCATAAACAGGGAGAATCGACCAATGATTTTAATTGAAAATTGTATAATATAATATTTGAACTGGCGTCTTATATTAAATCTTAAGTTTGGTTCGTTGCCCAAAAAAACGCTTTTAGTGCAGCCCCTGTGGAATTAAGATGTGAAACACGGTGTAGTTGTTGTTGTCAGTCATATGAAGATTGTTTTATTCTAGCCGTCTTGAGACACATTTGTTCGTTTCTCTTTACGTAATCCTCCAGAAATAGAATAAAGAAGTAGTTTATATAGTATAACAACTCGTTATTGATATATTGCCTATGATTGTATATTAACAACATCTGTCACAGTTTGTAATGGTTTTGGGGCAGCGTCTATCATGGAAAAATTTTGTTAAAACAATTCTTTTCTCATTTAGACGAACATTGACGAAATAAATGAACTATTCGAAGATGTTGCCAAACTTGCTCATGAGCAAGACGGTGTTATAGGTAAGTTGATTTACATTAAAGGAAAGACAGATAGGTATGACAAAAACAAAGCACTTCAAAAACAATATTTTAAAATACTATTCAGGATCACGTTGAAACCTTCGTTCAACAAACGCAGCAGGTCAATCGACAACTTGTACAGGCTGCATTTAACCAAGTGTTTTAGTATTTTATATCGCTGCTGCTAATTTCTTAAATTTTTCAACATATACATATCAACTTCATTAATTAGGAGTTTGTTTTTTGAAAGAATTGTAGAAAAAAACAATAATAATTTATTAAATAATAATGCAGATAAAATAAAACTTCGCTGCATTTTTCTAGATTCTATTAATGAACATAGAATCAATACGAAGGTGAAGATAACGCATGACAATCAAATTTTAGCGCGAGCTAAGTCTTATCAGGTCGATTTTTCTTTCTTTTTTATTTCAATAAAACAAAATTTTAATTTATATTTAGCATTTATATCCTGTTTTTTTTTTGTTTTTCAAATTTAAAGATTACTGCTAGACATAAAAAAAAATCCTATTGCCTAGAGTTTTACTCATTGTTATTGCCATTATTATACTTGTTTTAGTTTTAACATTGAAAAAGTGATACTCAGATAGGTTTGTATTATATATAAATCCATGTATTCAAATTATTTTATGACTTCATCTTATTTTTTTGGTTTAGAGACATCACACTCATATGCACTTTCAATGTTTTATATGTGCTATGATAACAACTATTTTATTCTTCCTTATTATTATTAATATGAAAAATAAAAACAGAAATTATTTTGTTCTTTTTTTTTCACGCACATATATATATATAGATGCACATATTTATTTTACTTTATGCAGTGCAATTATCTAAAAAATAAACAAATAAAAATGACCAGTTTTTTTCTTTCGTTTCTCTTTTTGTAATCTTTGTTGAGTATCTCTGTTTCATTTTCTTTTCACATATAATTTGGCAAACTATTGCATGTTTATTTATGTATGAATGATGTCATTGTCACGGCTGAATAAGAAAGGAAAAAGGCGAAAAAAAGCAATAATATAAAAAGTAATGCAAAACATTTATTATGATTACTTGATTCAATTTCACTGTACGATATTATTTTTCTTAAAAAAACACGAAAATGTTGTTACGTCTTTGGAATAATTTGCGATTATTTGAAAAGGCACTTGCTGATCATAATGAATATAAAATGTATGCAACAATTGTTACCGAAGGTGTGTAGAAAATTTTGTTCAATGATGATTTAATTTCTTTTCGACTCGTGAAAATGAAATTTTAATTATATTGACTGGAAGCTAGCTTTGGTTTTTACAAATCTTAAATAGAATTGGATAAAGTAGGGTAAGCGTTATAGACTTTTTTCTCAGCCAGGGCCCAGGATACGAAAAAAGCTTATCCTACGCATCTATAACGTGATAGTAACATATGATGCAAAAGTAACCGGACAAATGTCGACTTCAATTTCTCTTTTTTACTAAAAGATAGAATTTTTTTCTGTTTTTGAATCATATATAATGTATTTTTATTGCAGGTTCATAAATACAATGACGCAACTGAAAAAAGAATACCCTTAAAAGGAATCCGCACTTTTCGTGAGATGCAGAAAAACGGCGCAAAATGTTGTTTTATCTAACTCTTCGACAAACACGTTTTGAAATGAATATTTTGTTATCACTTGAAGGGTAATTTTCTTCTCTTTCGAACAGCGTATGACTTATATTTATTGCTCATTCCTGAATGATATTAGGCAAGAAAAAGCAAGAAATATTCGTGCAATAAATGTATAATTTTTATATGAACTCATCGAAAATATCTTGTAAAACGATAGCTAGTTGTGATTAACTGTTATCTACAAGATATTTTTAACAAATTCATATAAAAATTATAAGTTTATTGCCTGAATGTGTCTCTTTTTTCTTGTGACAAATATGAATCATACACACTGTTCAAATGAGAAGAAAATTTCCTATCAACTGATAAAAAAAAGTTCTGTTCAGAATCGATTTATCGAAGAGATATAAAGATCAACATTTTGTACAGTTCTTGTATAGAAAAATGTGAACGCTTTTTAAGAGTCAGTTTCCTATCTGTTGCATTCTTTCGTTTATGAGTGTGTTATAAAAATAAGCTCTATGCAATTCAACAGAGAGGAATCGTTCGATCTTTTGGTAAAAGACTTTTCTGTCAGCACTCACATTTATCGAAGAGAAACAGGAATCGGTATTTGTTCGGTTACTTTTGCATCATATATTATTTCGCTTTTTATCACTTTTAGAGTCTTCCAACTAGGGTAGAAGCAAAGGAAAACAAGATTAAAACTTCATATAGTAAGATAAAAAAGCTTACCCAACACATCTCTAATTTTAAACTTGTAAAATTATTTTCGATGAGATTGTAAGAAGGTAAAGTTGCTTGAGCGTTCCATGCACACTAACTATCTGTAATAACAGATGTATGTCACAATGTAATCAGCATGCTATCGGCAGGTGATGCAAGAGAAACACCCGTTAGTGACTCATCCAGAGTCATTTTATGGTTGATAGTACAAAGTTTGGAACACAGTATGTTGTGGATGCGTGTCGAACTATGCAGCCAGCCAGTCATAGTGATTTTGATGAGATTAATCATTGAAACGTTAAATAGTAATCGTTCTGAGTCGGTTCTTGTTCTGAATTGAAGAGATTATTTTATACTATATTTGTGTAAAGTCTTTTTTTTTCGTTATTTGATTTTTTCCAGTCAACATACATCATTGGATATTTATAAATAATACAAAAAAAAAACAATATTTTCCAAAACTTAACCATTTTTCAATTCATTAAAATTAGGACTCAATTTTGCAATGATAGAACCTGATAGCAATTACAATTCTGATCAAGCTATTCTTGATGTCGATAAAGTAAGAATATTACCTATGTCACATGAATATAATCCATCAAGTGTGCATGCGGGTTTACTTATTTATTCTGTTGATGGTGAAACAGATTTTATTTTAAATGATGCCATGTTTCGTATTAAAACAGGTGATATAATTATACGTCAAATTCATCATGTATTTTCTGGCCCAAATGAAATCGATACTTATCGTGATTTAATACGAGCATTATTTGGTACACATCGTATAAATCTTATCGGTCTGGTATTCACATTTCGTGGTAATGGAGAATTTACTAATTGTATGAGATGGGGACCAATAGCGCCTCATACAGCCCCAATACATCCAACTGAACAAAAATTACTTGAAATTGCACTTGTTACACTTTATATGAATAAGACATGGTTATCAATGCCAATTGCATCACATGTTGATATGGAAACATTATCTCAATCAGGCAAAAAACAATATCTTTCGAAACTAGCTGAAATAGAACAATTATTTCATAAACGACGACAACAACGAGAAAAACATCATTATTTACAATTACCAAATTTGTTAAAATTAGGTCATCATCATTCATCCGATAGTTTTCGATCATTTGAATGGACACCACATCGACAACAAATGTTTGATGATACAGTTATACGTTTACTTGATGAATTTTATAATCTTATTTTACAAACATTTGAAGAAGGAGAATTTGATAGTGATCAATATGTTCATTATGATGATAATACAAAACAATTATTTTCAAATTTAGTTCATCATTATACACCAGTAACACCTGCACAAAATAATTATTGGCCACAACAACAATATTTCTAAAAACATTAAATACCTCGATACATGCACATATACTATATATATATACATTTTTTAATTATTGATATTTAAGATTAAAGTAATGGAGAAAGAAAAAGAATATTTTTTTCACAAAGTATACTATTCATTTTTCTTTTGAAATAAACTTTTAAAATATTATGAAAAATTTTTGTTATGCATGACTTAAAAAAAGTCCAGTCTTTTAAAGATTGCAAAGAAGGCGAACATTGTCACATAAATTAATACAGAGTATTGGTATCTAATCAGAGTTAAGAAAAATGAACGAAGTATTGTATGTATTTGAAATATAATTTTTAGAGCACTTCTTCCATCAGTGAACCAAATCTGATATGCGACCATTTGCAGCTTTCAAATCATTTCAGTACCTGATAAGACTAGCTCATTGAGTAATAGTAGTTATACTATAATTCTTGATTTTTTTATGTGCATTTGAAAGGTCATCATATAAAATCATCAAAACCAATTTTTTTGTTTATTTAAATGTTCTATAGTAGAGTTAATCTAGATCGATTTTTTAGCACTGCCTATCGACTTTCCAGAAAAAGAGTGATAAATTATCTCATAAATGTCTACTAGGATTATACTTCAACAAGTTAGAATTTTTTTTATAGAACATACCAAATGTGGAATATGAAAAATTAAATAAAATGAGCTATTTCAAATATTGTATATTATCTATATGATGAGGTTATGCATTTCAACATGAGTGAGAATGATAACAATTTACAAGCACATAATAGTCGATGGTTGACAGTATATTTGCTGTCATTTTTCTAGAATTCTCATATATTGTTGAAGAAAATATGGTGAGCAGAAATTTAAATCGAGACTTTTGTGGCTCTCTTTAGATCTTAGCAATCGAGCGGGACGAGGATATTTGCCACTTCCTATGACATGTATCGTATATATTATCATTAGCCGAATAGAAACTATGCATTGAACATATAACTGACAACACAAATAAGTTTGTTTTTTTAGTATAACAATGTTAAATTAAGCTGATGAGTTGGTAAAATATTAATTCGAAATGATAAAATTTCAGAGTGTGCCTATTAACTATAAAAATTGTTATCATTTACATTTATTCATTCATTTTGTACTTTTTAAAATAAATTATTTTAATCTCTCTGACAATATAATATAAATTAATAATAGTTAGAGTTTATGAGTTTTATACTTTGACCTTTGAAGGGATCGCACTGACAAGTCTTTTACTTCCGATGTCATGATAGTGCTCTCATGAAATATTCCTTTGAAAAAACGAAGTTTCCGACTACCTTGAACGTTTTTGTATACCATATTTCGTTTCGAAGCACCTTTTTAATATCACAAAGAATCATAATCCCGAGTAAAGAATACGGAATTGCAAACAAAATCTAAAAGTGCTTTCGATTAAAAATAATATTGAAAAAATAAGATGAAAACCTGTCTTTTATATTGAAATGAATAAAAATAATTTTCGCAAAATGCGATGCAAAGGACGAATAATCGACCTTACAACGATGGTAAAAACTAATTTTATATTTATGTGATGTTCTATTCTTTTAGTATCATAATCGAAACTAAACCTAACACCAATGAAATAACTCAACGTCAACGTAAGGAAAACAATGATATGTAATGCTATGAAATCGCCATATCTCTAACTTTCTTTGTGTCTTCCTGATAGTTACTACAATATTGAAATCATGTCATGGGGATATCGAACACCATGATACCTGTTCATGATTAATTGTTATACAATAAATATTTTTTTCAATAGATAGTATAAAATAATGAGATTCATTATTATTCAAATGAAACGATAAAGTTTTCAGTGATTTACAAAATATATTTTTCGGTTTCTTTATCTGGAAATTATCACGCACCATATTAGCAAAGTAAAATAATAACAAAATTTTTGCTTGAGTCTGAATAATAAATAGATCACACAGTAGACTGTCTGTCAGTCATCTGTTTGCGTATTATTCCCTTTGGTACCTTTGCTCAATCCAATAATAACTGCTACTTTTAAATGGAACTGTTCTGTTAAAATCTTAGTCAATTACTTGACATCAGGATATATCTTCAATATCGATATTACAAATGAGGTTCTTTACATTGGATAACTTATCTTAAGGGGCTCCCCCCCCCCCCTCAGGAATCGTTTTTCATTATTCGTGGACCGATTTGTGTGAAATTTTTAGGCAATATGGATGTTGTGTTAACTCAATTTATTGCAAAGTTTTGGCTCATAAAGTTTTTGCTTTAAAGAGTTATTGACAAATTAGTCCCCAAATGGGGGTTCTCGTAAGGTACCGATTTCTCGAACTGCCAAAGACGTAGAGAGCTACTTTTTTTTTTAAATGAAAGAAGAAACCTATGTCTAGAAATGTACATACCGGTTTTTCGAAATTCGATTTTGTTCGGATTTCCGAGACATTCTACTGCAAGAACTCGGAATTTAGCGCTTTTTGACATCAGTGTTATCCAGTTATCTCG